GATACCAGACTCTACAATGCAACACTAAAACGGCAATATCTTATGCAATGTATAATGTGCAATTCACCATTGATACCCTGTGCAATAACCTGTTTTTCTATATTTGACACCCAATGCAATAACTATATATATATATATATATATATATATTCATATATATACATATATAAATTTATATCTATCTATATAAATACCCATTTAAACACCCTGTGCAATAGCCCTGTGTAATAACCCTACTATAAATAAATAAATAGATAAATAAATAAATAAATAAATAAAAATTGTCATATATAGAGGCACTGTAAATATCCTATGCAGCTTTTTCTGCCTTTGGCACCTTCTTCTTCTTTGACTATCTGAGCTGATGAAACGGGTAGATTTCTCTACAGTGAGATCAGTAAAGTCACACAATTAATTAATTAATCAAACTCCTTTCCAAGATCGTGTCTTGTTTTTCCTTGTGCACAATCTCTTTCACGTTTTGTCAGAAAAAGAGTAAAGCAAAAGCCTTAACTCCATGACTATATAAGAGCCTCTGGCGGTAAAGTGATACGTTCTTCCAGGTCACATGACCTGGCCAATGACGGTGCGTCTTCTCCCAACTTACATAGTCTTTGTTTAATGAGGGGAGCCCCGCTTGTAGCACTGATAGTGTCAAGCACTGTATATTGGCCTGAGAAAGCATTTAAAATACCTCATATGCCTCAACTCTTTAGGTCACAAAGTCTATAAGTCTTTAAGTTCAACTTCTGCGTTACAACATGTAACACATAAATGAAGATAGGGTGGAGCTTGTTCTTGGAAGAAATGAAACACATAAAAACAAAAAAACAAAATGTTGAGGAGAGAAAAATTCTTCAAATATTAACTTTCTAAATATATATATCTTTTGGAGCCTAACGCAACGTTCAGACTGTAGTCTAAAGTGACCCGAAATGTATTTTTTGGCCAATATTTAGCCCATATGCGACCTCTATCGGATCTGATTCGTACGACCCAGTTCACTCAGCTATGCAGTCCTAAATCAGATACAGATCTCATCTTTTCAAACGCGACCAGCGTCTGAAAAGATTAATTCTCAACAAAACTCCCTATTCTGTGTCTTACAATGAAGAAGCAGGGATAAAAACAACCATGACGGACAATGATGTGTGAGTCTTTTGATCTCCTGAAAAGAGAGCATTCCCCCCCCAACTCGCGCCAGGGGAGCAGTGTGGGGTTAAAGGAAAAGTCTTGTCAACAAGGAATAATCAATGGATCATTATTTATACCTAAAACTAATACGTTCAGGGTGATTTATTGAATTTAGCGTTAATCAGTAAAAAAATCATAAAAAAACACATCTTTTCGTCGTGATCACTGAGTTGGGGAGCGGCCATTTTTGCTCAAATATAGTAACACCTCACTCCTGACATCTTCCGTGAGTGACGTCACGGTGCGGTAAGCCTAGCTCCATTCTCCCCACTTTACAAGCAAAATCAATGGGAACTACTAGACACATCTGCAATCAACAACAATTATTTCCAGAGGACTTCACCATTGAAATTCACCAGAGCTATAGTTACACTGACAATAACCACATGCATGGCAGCTGGATGTTATAATGCAACTCCTTAGTAAGATCTCTGATCAAATGATGGTGACTAGCTCTGTGCAAACCCATTTAGGAAAAAAAAAAGCTTCCTAGTGATTCCAGCCAAGCACTGTTATATCAGAACAGACGAGCTCAAATCAGCTAATTCTGGACACCAGCTGATTTTTTTGTTTGTCTCTGTTCAGACGATTTCAAGGTAAAAGAGAGACTGAGTAAATGCCAACCTTCATTGTAAATATTTGAACCAAGAAACCTGCAAGACAGTACAAATAAGAATATATCTCCTCTGAGCTGTGTGCAGGTGTTGTAGTATTGGTTCTGCTCTGCCCTCCTTCTTCCCTTTGTGATTGACAGGGGCAGCTTTACAGGGGTCTTCCATCCATTCCTTATCAGCAGAGCTTTTTGAGTAGCTGGAAAAAAGAGAAAGGCAGACGGTTATTGGTAACCTGATCGAGTCCTGAGTCTACCTCCTGGACTCTTACCTCTTGTGTTTGTCTCCTTCCTCATACGCTCTGGGATTGTTCCAGCAGCTTTGAAGTCCTGAACCAAACCCCTTCATCTGATGAGAAACCAGGCTCGGACTAGGAACGATTTTCGGCCCTGGCATTTTTTTCATCTACACCGGCCCTATGCCAAAAAAATACAATACACAGTGAAACGTGCGTCTCAAATGTGAAACACAATAACAATACACATTGTGGACCAGACGTCCTCTTTTTGCGGGGGAAATTTCAAAATCATCCAGGATTTTGGTCGACTACAGTGCAGCAGAACTGAGCCGTGAGCTCCGGGGCTGGTCCGGGAACTCAGGCGGACGGGGGCAGGGAGCCAGCAGGGGATGGAGCCACTGAACCCAACCTGATGACGGTTGCTGTGGCCCAGTGCATACCGTCACCGGGTTGGTTCAGTTGCTCCTTCTGCCACTGGCTCTGGACCCGGGCCAGCACCAGAGCTGATGGCTGGGTACGAATGCCCGGTCCGTTCACCCCCCCAAAAAAGGTGTCCTCTTTTTTAGAATCCCAATTCTGGTCACCCTAATTAACCAATCTATCTTCAAGTATCACATGACAAACAGACTTCCATAATGCGGTTTTACTGGCTTCGGTTATCAACACGGGCGGAACAGTGACTGGTTCTGCATAATGTCACACTTGCACGAAGCAAGCAATACACCCACCCACCCACCCACCTGCTCACACATACTAGGTCTAACATAAAACAGTACAATATAGAGGTGGACAGGCAGTTCTTCAAGAATAAATACATGAAAGCTCAGCAGTCCAGGTGGCAAGTGGGCAATGAAATGGAATAATGTAAACAGATGCACACCCCATCATGCACCGCAACATATTTTTACCATATATAAGAGGAAAATTGTAGTTTGGTTTACAGAAAAAATTTTAGTTTTATTATAATTTAGTTTGTTGCAAGGATTTTACAGTTTGAAGAAATAGAAAATTACACCTTATGCCAACCGTCACAAGGATGTGCATGACAAGGGCTATATATACTGCATGCATCATTTAGGTAGTTAAAATTGTATTACTTCTTGAGCTCCTTGAGATATTTCCTGTCACAGGTAGGTGCTTCAGCCGGAGAGTAAGTGTTGGGGCCGGTATGATTTAAGGAGGGTCGGCCCTCGCACGCAGAAATTAAGACCGGCCCACCGGTCCCAGCCTGTGAGAGACACCTGCACGTGGACTCAGCTGCAGCCTTGGTTCCACTCACCTGTGAGAGGCCTGGTTCTCCTCTCTTCCACCGCTCCCTTCACACCTGCCTGTCCACCTTCCAATGCTCTCCAGAAACAGAACAAGAGAACCATAATAAATCTCTTTCACTGTCTTCTCTATCAACCTCAGTTCACCTCCGCCTGGAAAATGTCATGATTGGGTTTCTGAGAGTAAAGCCCAAGATGCAGAACACACACGGAGAACGCTGGTAAAAGTCCAAAGAGATTATTTAAAGACACAAGCACATAGAAATAAACAGGAACAGTTCAGTCCGGGGGCTGGTTCACTGGGGTCTGTGCAGGGAACGGGGGATGGCTGGTTAACTGAGATCATGAGGGGCTAAGCCTCTAGCTGTATGCTTAGTTAGGCTAGCTAGGATCTGAGCTTCCAGCTCAACGCAGAGAACAACAGGGGATAATCCACATGGGAACCTCTGGGGAAAACTCCTCAAAGAAGTCATCAGGTTTCATCCACGTGGGGATCTTCGGGTTGGCTCACCAGGGCAGATTAGCAGGTTAGGCATTCCAAGAGCTTCTGGCTTGGGACTGGTTTCCTGTGACGCAGCTCTCCCAGAGCTGCAGACCAGAGACAGGGTTCCAGTGAGGGTGCTCATCCAGAGCTTCACGAGGAGACAGGTGGTTAAGCTCATCCAGAGCTTCACGAGGAGACAGGATTCCTGTGTGGCACAGATAAAGGAGAGATTAGAATCTGACCTCAACCTAGGAACAACCAAGACTCAGTCTATAGCAGAAGGTTCAGGAAGCTAACCAACTAAGATCAACACTGCTGCGTGGAATCAAGGTTTGAAGGCAGCTTAAATACTGTGGTCCTCCTGATGAGTAGATCAGCCACAGGTGTGTGGGAGGCTCAGCTCAGGAGGACCCACGGCGCACTCTGCTGGAGGCAGAGGGTAATCTCCAGAACCTTAACAGTGACTCCAGCCCTAAAGAAAAGACAAAGAGAGCAGAAGAGGATCCTCGGCGCCCTCTGGTGTGCAAGCCTGAGGATCCCAACAGAAACAACCCTTAAAATCCACTACAGCACGCTGTAAGCCCAGTAAGGCCACCCTTCCATCCTGCACTCAAAGAAATAATTTGTTGAATGAACTTAAAAAAATCATGGAAATAATTTCCACACAATTAAATTAATCTTTTTCTACAATAAACAATTAGTTGTTTCAACCCAATATACTTAATTCAGGTCAACTTAAGTTATTTGAGTTTGTTCTACTTAATTTTTTCTTTCTAGATTGACTTGATTAAATTATGTCTGCTTAACTCGCACCAGTTTGATTTAAATTAATACTTTGAGTAAAGTCAACTTAATTTGCATAGGTAAAATCAACTCAAAAAAATTGTGTAATCTAAATTCATTAAAATCAAGTTAAAAATACTTATCTTAATAGAATCAGACTAAAACATAGCAAATATGTTTGATTAACCTTGATACATTAGGTTGACCTAAACCAAGAATATTTGGTTTAAGAAACTAAAATGTTTAATGTTGAAAATTAATTAATTAATTAGGTGGAAATGATTTCCATGATTTCCTCAAGTTCATTCAACAAAATAAAAAAGATAACTTCCGGTTGGCTGCTCAGGTGGAAGAAGACTCATCCGTCAACCAGAGAGTATTGGATCAGTTCCAGCTTCCCCTTAACTACATGCTAAAGTGTCCTTGGGCAAGCACCGAACCCGAGGTTGCCTCCTGGTTTTCCATGTCAGGGTGTGAATCTGAAATGTATTGTAAATCTCTTTAGATAAAAGTGCTATACAACTGTCACCTCTAACATGTAGTGCCAAAGGTAGGAATAAAAAACATTTTTCATGCGTTTCAATCAAACTGTATTTGAACAAAGACAATTTAGGCTTACATGTTAACACTGGCTTACTAAAACAGGGTAATTACATTATTTAAAAAAACCTAAAACAGCAGCATACCATTCTTAGTTTCTTAAACAGAAATTTGTAGTGGTTGCTTCACAAAATAAAATTAAAACAGGGTTAGCAAATGTTAAAAACAAACAAAAAACAACACCCTTAATGGTACTCTGTTCTACAGACAACATTCTTAAAGCACACTTACATGAATTTAAGTGGATACAACAACACTATACAGAATTAGACATTTTGAAACCATATGTTATTTTGAGTAAAAAATAATAATAATTAAGTTGAACTTTACTTAACATGCAAATAGCTCCTTACAGTCTTCAGGAAAAGGAAAAAAGATGCAACTCAAAGTATATCCAGTCTTCAGTATTTCAAATTGTGGCTGACACATATCTCTTGAATGTACTTAGCAGACTAAGGTTTTTTACTGATATGTAAGACAATAGTAATAAAGTTCAAGAAAAACTAGTAGAATTCTTCCAAATCCAGACTTGGCAACTGCTTTAAAGTGCAACATGAACCTTTAACATTTTGAAATAAACAGTATATTAGGCAGCCCTTGAAATGTACTCTTTTACTTTCATATTAAGTAATTTCCACACCAGCAGTGTCTTGAAAGTTTATACTTTGGCTGACTACTCGTTTTCTTGCATCTCCATAATGATTTTCTACACAACTTCAATTTTATATTTTAACTCTAGAAATCTAACAAAAAGTGTCTTGGGATGGATATCCAGTCTTAAGTATTTTACACTGCTATTCATGTGTTTCTCTTAAATCTAGTCAGCACACTAAACGGTTTTGAGAGACAAAACTGCAATAAAATTCAAAAATGTAATGTGAAATCTTTGACAAACTGGTGAGACTACGAGAATTCTCCCATATCCAGGCTTGACTACTGCTTTCAAGTACAACATGAAATTTCAACATTTAGGGGGAAAAAAAAAAAAGTACATTAGGCAGCCATTACGATGTACTTTTTACAGTGATCAACGTGCCAGCAGTGTCTTGAGCGTTTGTACTTTGGCCGACAACCTGTTTCCTTGCATCTCCATAATGATTTTCTGCAGAGCTTCAAATGTATATTTTAATTCTGGAGGGTAACTAATGTTCAGAGCATACACAAGTCCGAGAAACATTGCCATAGCGAATGGAACATTTCTCAAACCACTCAGTACCTCTACCCCCTCCAAAACAATTCCAATATCCTCAGGGTCATCATCAGGGTCTGCAACATTGTGTCGAATCACATAGATGCCAAAGACTGTTTCTGCCAGGTCTCTTTCAATGCACTCATCATCGCTCTGTGGGAGAACAATTGAAAAGGTTAAAAATATTAAACAAAAATAAGTAAATAAATAAATAAAACCAGACTTTATCAGTAGGATTTCTGAAACAATTCTTTGATATCTTAATGTTATGTAGGAATCATGGTTCTGAACGTGAACAAGACAAAAGAGATGGTTAATGACTTCAGGGTGGAAACCTGCACACTGCACATCAGGATACTTTATTAGGAGGTAGAGGTCCTGGACAGCAGCCTGGACTAGAAAATCAACAGAGATGCAGCACAACAGTGATCTCCAACCCTGGTCCTCAAGGCCTACTATCCCACATGTATTAGATGTTTTCCTGCTGAGACACACCATATTCAAATTAAATGGATATCTGACAAGCTCTGCACAAGTCTGCCAATTACAAAATTTGAGTCAGGTGTGTTGCAGCAGGAAACCTTCAAAAGTATGCAGGACAGTGGCCTTGAGGACTGGAGTTTGGGGTCCCTGTTGTACAGGAAGGAGATGAGAAGAATTCCTTTAGAGAGCACCCAAGAGTGTGTTGAGTGCAATTAAGTTTTACTCATGCGGTCCAACAAAAGAACAACATGGGAATCATGAACACTGGAACCAACTGCAAAATGTGGAATATTGTACAGTTTACTTAAAATAACGTTTTATGTTGCGGTCAGTAATTTTTCTCTTGGCCTGAGCAAAATAAACCACAAAAGTTAGGATGAGAGATGAATGTGTTGTCTGATGGCTGGTCAACATACCTTGTAGTCCTTAACAAATTTTTGTGGATCCTCATTCAGATACACGGTCAAACCTCTGAGGATGCATTCTCGTCTCACATCAATGCTGTCAACCTAAGAATGAAATTGAGAAAGGATGTTCACACCCACAAAACATTAGGATCAAAACTAGCTGGCACAGAACATTTCTATAAACCAAACCTACATGCAACTCTAAGAGGCAGCTTTAAAGGAAGAATCCAGACAGACAGAATTTGGGTGACAATATGAACTGTGTTACTCGGTCTACCTATCAATGTTTAAATAAAAAGATTTATTCTTTAGCAAACCCTTTTAACCAGTTAAATTTAGATTTGAGTTTACAAAACCCACTGTGATATTGCTGTTGGGAACTTCTGGAATAATTTGTAAAATGTCAGTGCATCTGCTTATCCAAAAAAAACAATACTTAATTCCTACATTTGAACCAAGCTGAATACAGCGATGTGCAAAAAGCTGTAGCCCAATGTGTCTTGAAGACATTACATGTACAATCTAAGAAAGGACAATGCAATAAAACAAATCAAATTGTCTGATGAAAAAAAAAAAAAATAAAAAAAAAAAAAATATATATATATATATATATATATATATATATATAATTACTGTATTTTCACGACTATAAGGCGCATATAAACGTCTTTTTATCCCCTCAAAATGTGCGGTGCGCCCTTTGGTGCGGTGTGCCCTATGTGTGTTGTTACTGCCAACTTTTGAGACCACCTCATTGAAGAGATGATGAAAGATTGGCTGAGGGAGGTGAATGTATGGTTTTTTTCCACTCATCACCATCGCTGTTAAAGGAATAGTACACCCAAAACATAATTAGCCTTCATTTTCTACTCACCCCCATAGAGCTGGGCGATATGGCGATATATATCGTGAGGACGAGAGAAACATGTCTATTGCGACCTTTCTCCTCTATTTTTTCTATCGTGATAAACTTTTTTATTATTATTATTACTGCTAATCTACATTTCAATATAATTTGTTAATATAACATTTTGCCTTTTTGCTATGCAAACTCTAAGTGTATATAACGAAAAAAAAAAGAGAATAAAAACATAATGTGTACAGAACGTGGTTTTGCGACACTACACCGCTTTACGTCACGCGGCTTTGCACCATACGTTTGCGACATTACTGACGGAGAGAGCCCGCGAAATTTCTTTCTTGCTTGAAAAAAAAATGAATGATGGACACCCAAGAAATTGTTACCACAGCAGCGGTTACAGAGTCCGAAACGGTTGCCAGGTCACAGACACAACAAACACCACTTTTGCCCAAAAGGGGAGGCAGCTCGGTTGTTTGGTTATATTTCGGGTTTCAGCCATCTGATAAAGAACAAACGCAGCCGATATGTAAACTGTGCAGCAAAGCCGTTCCAGCGGCTGATGCAAATACTTCCGGGCTCTTTTACCACCTGAAGAAAAATCATGAACAAGAACACGGGAAACTACAACCACTCCGATCAAAACAAACAAGGGATGAAAATACAGGAAGCACTGGAAAGAAATTCTCACAGCCGAAGCTTAAGGAAGCATTCGCCCAAGGATCACAATCTGAGAAGACGTCTCAGCGACACAAGCGGATCACAGGTGCTATTTCACGCTATATCTGTAAAGGCATGGCCCCCGTTTACATAGTCGAGAAAGACAGCTTTCGGGACCTCGTCCGTACACTCGATCCCAGATATGTGATGCCTAGTCGAAAACATTTCAGTAAAGTGGAGCTGCCTGGCTTATATGCTAGTTGTCGGGCTGAAGTGGAGAGAGAGGTACGCAGTGGTGCGACGCATTATGCGTTGACTACGGTCATGTGGATGAGTAGAGCAACACAGCTTTATATGAGTCTCACCATCCATTTCATCAAGGACTGGACCCTCCGCGCTCGGTGTCTACAGACCGTGTACTTTCCTGAGGACCACACCGGAGTGATGCTCGCCCAAGGTATGAGCCTGACATTGCTATGCACTTTTGTGCGTTCGCTAGTTTTACTATTATTGGTTTTACTAATATGTTTACACCAATGAACTGTGTGCTTTTACAGCATACGCATGTTATTCCAAATTTCCCATTAGAGTTATCTCCATACACCTAAGAACGTATGTCTGTGGGTTTTCCCTACGTCGCCTCGTCAGCTGATTCTAGTCACGTGACTGACACAATTATTTATAGATATAGGAAAACAGCATCTGTGTTTTATGGCTATCCTATGTCAACTATAGCATAAAATGCAACATCAGTTGTGGTATATCGTGATATATATCGTTATCGTGATATAAAATAATCCATATCGTGATATAGTTTTTTTTTCCATATCGCCCAGGCCTACACCCCCATGCTGAACAACACTCTGGAGTACTTTTTTGATATCTCAAATGCATCTGGAGATCTGGGAGGCTTCTTGCTGTCTGCTGACATTCAAATAATGGAGGTCTATGGTGCCCGAGGCAGGAAGGTCCATAAAAGTCCACAAAAAACGTGTCAATATTCCTCCATACTGCTCGTCCAATGTATTCCAAGTGTCCTGAGTGAGTAGCGTCCAGAATTTACTCGAAACGAAGTCATTTAGAATGTTTTTAGAGCATAAACAGTAGTGTATAGGATTTCCTGAAAGCGCGCACATGCGCGTTCACGACGCTACGGAAGCCGGCAGACCAAACCAGCGCATTCAGCTCGGCAAAGAACTCATGCTCTTCTTCAACACTGAAGTCCTCAGACATTTTTCTTTCGTTGTTTCTTTCTTTGCACAGGTAAACAGCACATTTCTTCTTCTACGCTTGCATTATTGGCAGAGCAGACGCTGAATGCGCACTTTCATCTGGTTTTGTCTGCCGGCTTCCGTAGCGTCGTGAACGCGCATGTGCGCGCTTTCAGGAAATCCTATACACTACTGTTTATGCTCTAAAAACATTCTAAATGACTTCGTTTCGAGTAAATTCTGGATGCTACCCACTCAGGACACTTGGAATACATTGGACGAGCAGTACATAGACCACCATTATTTGAATGTCAGCAGACAGCAAGAAGCCTCCCAGATCTCCAGATGCATTTGAGATATCAAAAAAGTACTTCAGAGTGTTGTTCAGCATGGGGTGAGTAGAAAATGAAGGCTAATCATGTTTTGGGTGTACTATTCCTTTAATCTGTGACTCCATGCGTGCCAATCTCACAGCTGATGTGAAAAACATAGTGAAACAAATGAATGCTGTGTTCGCTGTTATGCAACCGCTTGACATCGGTGTGAACCGGACGCAGCAGGTGCAGCAGAAGCAGTGAGCAGTAAGTTTACATGCAAAGTCAATGGTTGACGTGCGTCAAGGCACAGCAAAAGGTCCCGCAGCGCGTTTTATGGAAGGCTGCTCATCGGGAGCGTTTAAGCATCTGAAGCGCTTGACGCGCCGCCAACGCGCTGCTGCTGCTTCAGATGAAAAAATTGAAGTTTTGCTGCTGGACGTGCTGCATCAACCAATCAGAGAAGCTGATCTGGGAGCTGACAGCGAGACAGACATCGCTGATGATACACATATACACAGCGCTGTAATCGCTCCTCTGAAACAGTTTATTGACGCCTAAATTAACTTAACCTGCCGACAGAATATGTTTGCTTTTATTATCCAGTTTTCAGGTGGATTTTCCCACTTAAAAACATATTAAAACTACTTTATTCCCACTGATCACAGCAAATATAGCTGCAAAGTGTATTTAATACATAGTATTAATCAAACCTGGGAGCTGGCCGTGAGACAGACACATCGCTCTGATGACATATGATATTAAGGCAAATGATAAAGGCTGGATGGATGAGGAGATGATGAAAGCGTGGCTGAGGCAGGTGTATGTGAGGAGACCAGGTGGTTTTTTCCACGCATCACCATCGCTGTTAATATGACTCCATGCGTGCCCATCTCACAGCCGATGTGGGAAAAAAAGGTGAATCAAATGGATGCTGTGCTTGCTGTTATTCCGGGGGTCTGACAAAGGAACTTCAACCGCTCGACATCGGTGTGAACCGGCCGTTCAAAGTAAGGCTGCGAGCGGCGTGGGAGCGACGGATGACCGACTGAGACCACAGTTTCAGGATAAGTGGAAGGCAGCGCCGGGCAAGTTACGCCACAGTTTGCTGATGGATTGTTGATGCTTGGGCTAACGTGTCTGCGGGCACTGTTGTTCGAGCTTTCGCGAAAGTCGTCATCATTTCCGAGGAGCAGCCCAGCACAGAAAGTGACTCTGACAGCGAAGAAAGGGAAATTGGCAAGTCTGATTTAGCGCAGCTGTTTAATTCAGAAACAGAGGATGATGACTTTGATGGGTTTAAATAATACTTTGTAATAAATACTTGAATAAAGCACAATCATACTCAGTTTTGCTCCCGCTCTATTTTTCTACCTGAAAACTTAATTCAACAGCAGCCTCTGGGCCGGGTCTCCTCCAGGTATACCGCGGCGGCTGGCAGGTGTTTTTTCATCTAAATAATCTAAACGGCCGGCACCAGGTTACCGGTAATAAAAGCGAACATATTCTGTCGGCAGGTTTCAGGATTTTAACTTAATTTCTGCGTCAATAAACTGTTTCAAAGGAGTGATCACAGCGCTCTGTCATCAGCGATGTGTCTGTCTCATGGCCAGCTCCCAGGTTTGAATAATACCTTGTAATAAATACATGAATAAAGCACATCATACTCAGTTTTGCTCCCGCTGTATTTTTCAATACGCAGTAGAGGTATTTAAAGGTAGTAGAGGACATGTACCGGTATATAAAAAACGCGCCCTATAGTCCGGTGCGCCTTATGTGTGTGTTAAATACAGAAATGGCACACATAACTGAGACTGCGCCTTTTAGTACGGTGCGCCTTATGGTCGTGAAAATACGGTATATATATATATATATATATATATATATATACATATACACACACACATACATATGTACACACATAATTATATATTGTTGTTCTCTATATTCATAAATGACCTTCCAAAAGTATGCTCAAACTGTAATATCCTGCTGTATGCTGACGATACAGTTATTTACTCTGCTAAACCTGACATTAGTTTGATTGAGTCTTCATTGCAATCAGACTTTGATGATATTCAGAAGTGGTTTACAGCGAATGGGCTCATACTTAATAAGACTAAGTCTTACAGTATGCTTTTTGACAACAGGACAACCCGTTTTAAGCAAGATCATACTCTGTTAATAAGGTTTCTGGATGATACTCTTATGGAGAATGTGGAAGAATTTAAATATTTGGGCCTACTGCTTGACTCCAATCTTTCCTTCAAGTCACATATTGACTCCGTTGTCAAGAAAATTAATTTCAATCTTAGACTCTTATATTGCTCTATAAATTGTTTCACTCAACAGATCAGACTACGAATTGTAACACAGCTTTTATTTCCAATCCTTGATTACGCTGACATTGTGTATATGAATACAACAGAATCACACCTTAAATCTCTAAATGTTGTTTTCAACAGTCTCTGTCGATTTGTGTTGAGATGCCCATACCTTACCCACCATTGTCACATGTATCAGCAACTTAACCTCTTATCACCTAAGACTAGACGGCAGTTACACTGGTTTCAGTTTATTTATAAATGTTTTTTCTTTAATTATCCATCCTATTTACAAAACCATTTGAATCCATATAGGTCTACTTATGGACTTAGACATCTTGATCATTTGTTCTTTTCTGTTCCAAGAATATCTAAAGAAATAGGAAGACGTGCCTTCAGATTTAAAGCCCCTTCTGACTGGAATAGCTTACCCAGATCACTGAGATCAATTTCATCTTTTCCTCACTTTAAATCATCCTTATTAAGTTTTCTGCATTCAAGAGACCAGTGCACCTGCTTTCCTGGCCGTGGTCCTTAAAACAAAACAAAACAAAAAGTTATGTACCTGCTGCTGTACCTATATTCATGTGTGCGGTTGTGCATATATACATGCTTATTTTTCCTTCTTATCTTTTTTATTTATTTAACTGATTTTCCAATTGTGGGTTTTCTCCTGAGTACTTTACTTGTATTTTATTCTTATTTTATTTCTGCTTAGTGTTCTATATATATAGATACATATATTTTCTATTTGTTTGTTTACCTGCATAAATATATTTGTGTAGAGATGTTGGACTGTTTAGCTTGTAGTGATGAAGAGCTTTGGTATGGATGTGTGACTGTGTGTATTGTTTGTCTCTGTTGTTCTTGGGACCCCCTCGAAAACGAGATGGATCATCTCAAGGGGCTATCCCTTAATAAAAGAATTGAAATAATTATATATTAGGAATGCACAATATAATCGGCCCCCTACCGATATCAGCCTTAAAACTGCGTATTGAACATCGGCCACCCAACATCTATTTTGAATTTAAGTAATTGTCTTGTATATAATTTTTCATACCCTCCAATTAAAGAAAAGGATAAATTCACAATAGTAATTCAAATAACAAGAAACCTAAAATACAAATAAATAAAATTACAAAATTACAATTTAATTACTTTCAACTTGGGGAGTTTTCAATTAGTAACAGTAAAAGTATCTTTTCTCTTTGCTTAGCTTAAATATCTTGACACTAAGTCACATTATAACAACTTTTTATCATCTTCTAAACTTTAAGACTTGTACATGATTTCCTGACTTGTTATCTTACCCGAGTCATTGGAAGCATCACTGCCTTTATCTTTTTCCCGAGGACTCCTCCTTTTCTGGCAAACACTTTCATCAAGTTTTCAGAGTGTGCATCAAGTTGCGAAAAGAACTTGGATTGAAGCTCAACTGTGGTTATCCTCTTGAATTCTGCTTTCACCTAAAATTGAACAGGGAAAAAAGAGAATAATGATGGGCATACCTGTTTTTAAGAAAGTAAAAAGAAAGTTTTCTCATTACATCTACTTACCTCCCTCACATTAAAGAGACCTAGCCACCTTGCTTTGAAATCCGCTACCATGGGTGCATCTTGGACCACCTCAAGACGTCTTACTGCAAATGTTTTGTCCATCATGGCAGCTACTTTGTCTTCATTATTTCTGATTTTTACTTCAGATAGGAGTTTTACTCTCATCTGTTCCAAACTGTCAGCTGATTCACCTGCCGGATATGGTGGACAGTAATTCACTTCAGCCTTTTTAGGTTTCTTAACACCATAGGCAGGACTGCGCCGATCATCAGGTTTTTGCTTCAGAGAATTCACAGTAACTTCTGGACATCCAAGTCGTCTGAGCTTGGATCTGTAGTTCCCAAGTTTATATTTTAAACTAGTCTTCCAACAACCAAACCCACTGGCGGAACCTGGCTCTTTCAAGCAAGGGTGTGCTGTTATAAGAGCTTCTGCTACCTCATTGAACTCTGCATCAGAGAGGTAGACTTTGTACTTGACAATGGTTTCCATCAAACCATCCATGATTGCTGATTTAAGTTTTACATCAGGATTCAACAAGGCTCCAGTCTCCCTGAAAGCAGTGTTGGCTTTTTCAAGCTGTAGTTCAGTTTCATAAGAAAACTTAGGAATGTTGAAAACCAGGGGCCAACTGGAGGACCGTGAAGAGGTTGATTCAGAAGAAGACAGGATATTTGTGTCAAATGAGCTGCCAGATACAAATGAAGAGCTGTCATCTAAGGACTGCAAGGCTGCAGCCGCCGAATAAAAAGGTGGTGGAGATCCATCAGGCAGGCGAGGTGTTTCTGAATTAAAGATTACTCTAAGAGTACCTTTATCCAGGACATCTGAAATTGAGTCCAAGTTGGTGAACTCATTGTCGAAGTCAGTGTCCATATACTGAAGTCTGAAGCTTCCTTCTATTCCACATTCTTTTCTTATACACTCTGTGAGATCACTGACTGATTCTGGAATTCCATCTGGGAGAATCAATTTGTGCGAGTTGTTCTCTCCTAAGATTACTCGCAACTTTGCTGGTGGAGACATCTTTCAACAATCTAAATATGTAAAATAAAGACATGTCACAACAAGAACAGGTTTCAATATGGAAAAAAACACATACATTTGGTTTTTAGCACATCTTATAAGTTGATAAATCTTTTCAGTGTCACCATACGCGTCGGTCCAACAAAATAATCTGCTAAAGGGTAGTAATCAGCCAGTTCTTCTAGCCTAATCAAGAGAGTTTCAAAGGCTGAACTTGGCAACTCAAAGGATCTGTAATGTTCTCTATACCACCCATGAAGTCTCTTCACAATAAAACATGGTTTGTCATTCACAATGTAAACCTGAAGAATTTCCCCAAAGTCTGGGAGGCCACAACGATCATTCCTTTTCTGAAATTGACACCATTACTTGTCAAACTATTAACAAGATGAACTTCTGTTGTTCCAGGAAAGTTCTGGTAAATAGCCTGAGCTATTTCTTGTTTTAAAACATCCACTGGAAGAGAAGAGACATTTGTGACTTCGGGAGCAGATTTCTGAAAGCTGGTCAGTTTCATGTGATATCCCATCAGGAGTTGATGCTTATTTGCCTGAGTGAAGGGTACATTTTTGAAGCAGTTGACGTGTCGCACAACTTTCTTGAAAAAACTGTGCTTTGCCTCAAAGCGCATTGTCCATAGCTCCACAAGAGGACCAAACATCCTTACCAGTTGAGGGTAGTGCTCTACATAGTGATGTTTTGGGATTAGCCGCACATCAGGGAAAAGTTCTTGGAACTTTTGTCTGTGTCCTGAAATTTTCCCCTCAAGATAGGCTATCGACTCATCTGTATGTGATGGAGCAACAACAAGCTCCATTATGTCTTTTAAGTCCATCAGAACTTCCCAAGCTGGTTCACCTTCAGGAACTAAATGCCCAATAATAAATGGGAGTAGTCTTAAAAGGGACCTGTTTTCATGGGCATTCCCACCGATTGTTTTTCTAGCTGAAAATGTAAGAGGGATTGCATGTGGCTTGTTCTTTTTGTCTTCCCACTTATAAGGGAAATGCAAGATGGCTTTGTTGAGTGTTTCAATATCGAAATATTTCTTGTTCACAAGGACACCCAAACAATGTGCAAGCTCTACTGGTACAATGCCTTCGAAAACATCATGCATGATATCTGGAGGATAACCTGTGTGAATGCTAAAGTGGGTGAGCGTTTCAGTGATAATGCAATGATTTTTTACCCCAAAACAACTTGCACCACTCTCTGAGGCCGTTTTCACATGCAAGGCATGGAGTTCTTTTCTCCTGAGACTGAACGCACCTGACTGCACATCATTTGTCTGAATGTCCGCTTTTGTTCCAGTGCAAAATCTGCAAATATAACCACTGGTTAAGCTCTCATTCAAACATGATAAACTGTGGGCGCCCAAGTTATCCGCCACAACAAACTGGACTGTTCCTTTAAAACATTTGCCAAGCAATGGAATGTAAAGTCCATCTTGCTCTAAACTTTTTACATCGTGAAGAAGAGGATGCAAAATTTGTTCATAACCGTACTTCTTCAAGTCATCACTCTTGCACAGGACCGCCAGATAAATTGCGTGAAGTGAGGACTGTAAGCTCGCAGGTAAATTATTTAAAGTCCAATAGATGCCACAAAGTTTGTGCTTCCTGCGAGAAGTTCCCAGTGGATTGCAAATCTCAAATTCATCTATGTATAGTTTTAACAAAATTCTCAACTTGCCTCCTGCCAAAAAAATATTATCTTTAAAGTGTGAACCATCTTGAGAAGATCTGTACACATGCTGGTCAAGAGACACTTTACTTTGCTGTGCATTGTGATTTTCTAATACATTGTCCACAACATTTTTTCTTTCAAAGAGCTGCTGTAGTGATTTCAGTACAGGAACATACTGAAAACTTTTTTTTTCTTTCGCATCAGGGGTGTACTCAATAGGCTGTATTATATTAAAGTTGTTTTTGTAAAACTGGTTGCGAAGCAAAGATGTGCTTAAGGCACCACTCGCCCCTATAGCTTTCAGCAAAGGATTAGATTCATAGACAGCAGATGCTACTTCTGCTAAAAAAGATTCATCTTTTGTTACACTATGTTTTTTAAATAAATTCTCAAGAATCTTAATGGAGAATGGGAATGTGGATGCTTTTAACAAGTAGTTAAGTTCCTCCAGAAAGTCATCAAGTTTTGATCCTGGGACATGATAAATATGCTCCAACTTGAGCAATGCTGCAGCCAAATTTAGCTCAAATGCATCAAGTAAGTTCTCAGTTGTGTCTGGATTACAGCCTGAAGATGTACTACATGTACTAGATACCTTAACCTCAGGGTTATCTTGATTATCTGCAACCTCTCCAGAACCATCAGTGTCTTGTTGTAGAATTTGGGTGTTTGTAACTATACCTGGCTTGAAATGTTTCAGAGTGTGTGGGTTGTGTTTCCTATTCTTGTGTGAGTGGAAAGTGCCATAAATGTTGGTTTGAAAAGTGCAATCTTTAAACATGCATCCAACAGTTTCATCATTCTTCAAATGAGTTCCAATGTGTACAAAGTAGTCTCTCTCTGTAGGAAGGCTGCTACTTGCACACAAATGACAACTGAATGTAGACCGCTCCTGAATCGCTGTAGAGCTTGGTTTTGGATGAACTCTACTCAAATGAATACGCAAAGCATTCCATGTCTTAAAAGTACATGGGCAACTTGTATGAGGACATGGATAGCGTTGTCTCAGATAGTGCTGTATTCTGAAATGTTTTAGAAGTTCAGGTCTACCAGACATGGAAAGAGAACATTCTTTACACTTCCACATTTCTTAAAGACTGCAGTTTAAAAAGAACTGCACTGATCTATGTTTGTTGGACCAAAGCCTAAATCAATTTAAACATTCTAAGCAAGAAAAAGAATTAAACATCTACATTTATAGCAAAAAATACCGTTTAAGTCTGGAGTTTGTGCACAAAAAAGTGATGAAATCCTCTGATTGGCAAGAAGCGATTTCCTCTGAACAGAAGCCAATGGTAGGGCAGAATTGGGGTTGGACAGGAAACCAAAGGTTAAAAATTTGTTGTAACAAAGATCTTGTAATGCAGAGAAAATAATGACAAGAGAAATAAAGTTAGACGTATAGCTCCCCATTCTAAAGCTCAGATATGCTTCATAGTACAATGTGTTGGCTACCATGTAATTGACACAATTAGCCTCCCCCATTACAGCATTGCAATGTAAATATGACAATATTGATAAAATAAATCATTTAAGCATTATCCCAAAAGTCAGTCAGCTGTGAAGTCTTTTGGTATGTTATGTAAACCTCACTGTGGACTAATTATCCATAGTTTAATGAAATTCTGAAACAAACTGTACGGGAAAAAAAGGAAAAATGATCAGATCAGATTAAGACTATAGAGAACATTTTACTTAGCTTTAAAAAGTGCAAATCTCAGAACATGTATTGTTATTTGTTAATCCTGCAAAGGTCATGCATCAGTGTGTTGAGCCAAAGCAATTCAGAAATAACTATATTGCTCAAAAAAATATGCTTGTTTAACTGTACACTCTCCTGCGTGTGCAAGCACTTCTCAGCAGCTCCAGCAAAACAGATGTTTTTATCTTTCCCACACTGAAAATACTGACATTCTTGTCTGGTTAGCAGGTGGTAGAATGTACCTCACTTGTTTTCTGATCCGCTGGGCTGTATGGAGGATAAAAAGTGCCAAAATTAAATAAATAAATACAGCATTAAATAAATAATTAAATGTGTCAATAATTAATTAAATGTGGAATTAAATAAATAAATGTGTCATTTATTAATTAAAACCACGTCACTAATATAAAGTGAAACAATTAAATAAATAAAGTGATAAACAATTAATTAAATGTGTAATTCATTAAATAAATAAGGAATTAAATATATAAAGTTAGGGGGCGGGGTTAACGCGAATCGAGTCGCCACCTACTGTATCAGAGTATGTCCACAACCTGTGGATCACAGTCTCTGTAATCGATTTGCTCGCTTTAATGTGCAGGGTGACCAATCAGGTGTTAGATAACCGCCCCCTAACTTTGATGGGTGAGTTTGACAGATTCTTTTAATGGTTTCGATGCACTGCCAC